AAACCAATGGAGAAAAACTGTAATCAAATTGCACTCACTGACTCTCGGACCACTGACTTGTTATCAGACAGAAAAATCCGAGATCTGTTGTGTTAAGAGATACATACAACAATGTTGCTTGGATACCGCATTAGGAGTGTTTTTGTGTGTTAAATGTTAAAGTACAATACTGAAAAGGACTAATTTACCATTACAGGAAAGTGCAGTGGCCATCTTTCTCAACCTCTTTCTTTGTGTCTGTGCGCGTGTTAGTGTTAAGCTTTAATTTTTGCTTCCATTAGAGGTGGACACAGCTGCAGGTCTGACCCTAAGCTTCCCACAAAGAGCAGAATAGGCCCGTTCATAGCACTATAAAGAAATATGTGTACAGTTGTATTCAGTTGTGTTTTGAGACATATTTTGCATACGTCTCCACTCCTGACTATACTCTTCCTGTAAATATTCCATCTGTCTTTGTTTAGGGTGCTTCTGTGGTCTGGGACTGGTTTACTCCAACAAGTCGTGCACCATGCCGCCCATCACCTTCCAGGACCTGCCTCTCAACATCTACATGGTCATCTTTGGGACAGGCATCTTTGTCTTCATCCTTAGCCTCATCTTCTGCTGTTACTTCATCAGGTGAGGGCCAACAGAAACAGAATCATGTGATTAAAAACAAGAAATTGGGGAAAAAAACAAGGGTTGTTTTCAAACCTATACTTCTTTTGCTCTGGTTATAATCAGTGGACAAGGTGGTAAAATTGCATTTTCCTGTAGGTCCATTTTCTCTTCCCCCAAACAAAATTCAAGCAAACCAAAATGCATCAGTAAAATCCATGTGAGAACACATACTCTGCTCTTTGGTTAGATGTTTCTTTGGTAGGAGTGGGAAAGTAAACACAGGAAGAAGGTCCTGCCCAAATATTAAGAAGGCAACATTATTTGTTGCTACTTTAGCTCAGACCTTGATTCATTCTCCAGCTAGCTGCTAGCGACTGTTCACCCTCATCCCGGAATGCACCTGGTGGGAACCATTTAGAGTTGGATTGTGTTCCCACCACAAACCAACAGCTACAGTAATCAGACTGAGACCACTTCCTCCAAAGGGTTTCTGTGTGGTGGTTTTGTTCTGCACCAGAGTACATTCTATGTTCAAATCAGCCCAAACATATTGATCTAAGGGGGAAAACACACCTCCTGTCTACAGACATCTCTGTGAAGCTGTCTTGTCAAGGCTAACATATTGATAAGAATGAAGTGTGCTAGCATGCCACAAATTGTCATTGCAGTTCATCTAATAGTTGTTGAAGATTGCAGTCTGAACCAAAGTGGGTGGACATTGCCATCCTTAAAACTCTCCCACAGGAGAATTGTGTGTGTGTGTGTGTGTGTGTGTGTTTGTTTGTGTGTGTGTGTGTATATGTGTGCAGGCGAGAAACAGTGAGGGAGGGAAGGAGGTAGGAGAAAAAAAAGAGGAACAGGGTGACCTCTCCCGCTGTTGACTGTGAACTCCCTGATGAGCTGAGGGGACGTTTGTGTCTGAAGGACGGGATATGAGGCAACAGGAAGCAGCCCGTAACAATGTGTGAGGACAGCAGTGAGGAAAACTGCAGAGAAACTCTGCTCAGAATAAACATGGCCTGAAGAGCACACAGTGGGAGTACACAAAAACGCCACACACGGATGTATGCAGTGTACAAAATCCCATTAGGAAACGTCAACACCTGCAATAGGATCTTGTTTTTTCCTGAGCTCTCTTTGGATGACTGAGCATCTGTATTTGGTAAATTACCTGACATCTTATAATGTGGTGTGCTATTTTTGGAGTTGGATGTGATTCTGAATTGCCATCCAAATTGCCTGTGTTAAAATGTCAAACAACACAAAAAACTTGTGTGTGTCGGCTGGAGACATACAGAGCCAACGTGCTGTCTGTCTAGAAAGCATAAAGTGCACAATCCACGTCACAAACAATGGTAAATGTAAATGGTCCTTTAATCCAACATGGATGAGAAACCCTTATACAGCCCTCAGAGCTACTCAACAGTGGACATTTGATGAGATTATTTTTTCAATATCAACAGAAAGTGATAAGCATGAATTAGTTGCTTGTTTTCGGGGCGCATTATAGCTCACACGCATGCCCCATGTAGGCTGAGTCCTTCCTACAGTGGGCGGATTCAATTCCAAACCTGTTGCCATTTTTGCATGCCGTCTCTCTTCTCTCTCTCTCTCTCTCTCTCTCTCTCTCTCTCCTTCTCTCTCTCTTTCTCTCTCTCTCTTTCTCTCCTCTTTCCCTGTCTATGATCAGCTGTCCTATCAAAAGCCCCAAAACTTATTCTTGTATTCTCATTTGGAGATGAATTATTGTGAGATTTATTTTCTACTCTCAGGCAAACCTAAAGGAAATGATTACATCTTTTTAAATTTCTGAGATATTTTTACATTGTAGTTATTACCTAGAGAGGAAGAAAATCTTGCATAAATAAGTCAATTAGTATCAAACAGAGCGAGCAATTATCAAAAACCACGTTTTTGTAATCATGAATGTTTTTTTGGCTTGGACTCAACACTAAATTGACAATCAAGTCTGTCAGAAAACCTTGGATCCTTCCTGTTTCTCTTAAAACCTATGAATCATAACCAATGAGTCACTTCCTTTTGGCCCCATTAACATGCTGAAGGTAGTCTTGGGTAGGAGTGTGATTGTGAATTCATTTATAGACTGGATGATTCACCAGATGAATACTGAGTGATGAATGCCATTCGCTGTTGGGGGCAGGTTTCCTATTATCTCTCTCAGACACGCTCTCATAAATCCCGTATGTCAGGGAGTTTGTGATGTTAACTTGAATGACTGAAAAATTGCACTCTGTCTCAATTTGTCTATGTTAGGTGTCCTCCTTTAATCATACAAAGCAATTATATTAAGTTCTCTGAAAAGGTGAGATCTGGGTAAGATTTGCTCAGCACACGCAATCCTTTCAGCCTTCATATTCAGACAGTTGCTTTTCTAATAGTGGCTCAAAGTGGGGGTGTACACAGCAGTGACTGCAATGTACAAGAGTACAAAACCACAAGGGTGCTAAAAGCACAAGCCAAAAATATAACAGCTTTTAATTATACACCAATCTGCTATAACAGCGACAGGTCTGTGGTTCCATTAAGGACAGCAGCTACAGTAGTCAGAGATATTATGAGAAGCACAAGGTGCAAGGGTAAGCTGAAGGTGTTTTTAGCCAGACAATAAAGTGACTTAGAGATATTAAGCAACCAGCGCCGCTTTCCCCGGATACATTCACTGACTCATTTCCTGTCAGAGATCCTTTAGACTGGACCTGTCAAATTCCCTGCGGGTCCATATCCCAGAGGAGAAAAAACACAGTTGTTCATTAACCAACAGGAAACATGACTGGTTAGTCTGCAAAACTTCTTATAATTACAAGTGTTTGCCATACTGTAACGCCGGTAATGGTCACACAGGTGCTATTTTATCCACAAAGAGTTGGAAAGCACATGGAAACTGTGAAAATAAAGAGAGTTTAGCAGCAGAAATGACAGGCTGGAGATCATCTTCCAACACATGAACACAGCAATAGGGATGGCAGCTTATCAGGACAGAGACACTAATAAGTTAGTTAAATCTGTTTCTTTCTAAGAAGAGAGAGATTGGGCATATAAAGAGTGTCTCTGTAACCCTGATTAAGTTTTACCTGGAAGCAGAAGTTATCCAGAAACAAGTTCTGACGCATATTTAATTAGTAAGTAAATTGATTTATTTAAAAAGCAGCAGGACCTCCAGCTGTTGCTCTGTGTATTGGATTTAATTTAATTTTCAGGTGGCACTCTGCTTATACCTTTTCTAAATTAAAGAGATCATAAAATGGAAACTGTAAATGTCAAAGCAGGAAACAAATGAATGTGACTGCAAATATGACGCAGTCACGTTTACCATATGGAATAATGAAAAAATAAACTTCCTATTTCAAATAGATTCTGCTATTTCTTTATGAAATCCAGTTATTAGATCATTATTTGAATTCATATTGGCATAATTAATTATCTTTACACAGTTTTTAATTCATCAGTCTACTCATATGTTAAAAATATGGTAAAAATACTGTCAAGTCTAAAATCATGTTAAAAATACACAATCAAAGAATGATTCAGGTATTTAGTTTCGTCATTTGCAATGATAAGATGAGAACATCTGTCTCACCATATTACTTTAGAGAAGAGAAATTGAGCTTTGTTCTAAATGTCTGTTTGTCTGTTTTAATCAATAATACATATAACACATAAGTTGATGAAGTCTGAAACTTTAAAAAAAGACAGTTGAAGTTTTCCTGGACAATGTAAACTGTGGGAGATGAAATGACATTGGATTATTAAGCCTGCAGAAAGGAGCAGAAGCTGGCGATCTTGAGACATTTATTGTTAAGCTTTTTCAATGCATCTTTGACCTCAGAGAGTTGGAGGTTGGGGATGATTGCTGTCAATTTTTGCCGTGAACAGCCGTTCAGACAATTTTCTACATCTTCTGAATACTATATAAATATTCCTTGATAGCAAGCACGTTTAAGAAGTTGAAACTTGTTTGTTGTTACTTTTTGCTAATTCAAATAATTGATCAGTCATCCAAATTAATCATAGGCTACCAACCATGTAAATTATCTAGTAGTTGATGTCAAGGAAACTATTTATTAGGTGGCCTGAGGGTGGCAGAAATATGTGCTGATTTAATGGCAAACAATCACATATATTTGCTTGGGAAAGCCCCCAAATGAAGATATTTTGACCGAAAAAACATTACTTTATTTTGGCACATTAGTAAAGCATTAATAAACCAATTGTTTTAATTTAAATTATTTTCCAAATACGTGTCTTTTTTTCCATTTAACTTAAGCCTATCACTTCTACAATGGAACAGTATTGGTTTGGTTGAGTTTGTTTAAGTTTTCTGCACCTATCCTTATATATTTTACACCTGTTGAGTTCATTGTTACTTCATACAATAAGAAATTGTCAACAGTACAGTATTTCTATAAGGATTTTCTATTCTTGTAGACTGGGCACAATAGCTGAACTGAAACGTCATGCCCCCCTTTCACCCACTTCATATCATTCTCCAGGCATGGGAAACCTCAGCACATGTAAAACACGTATCCTCACATTGTTCTACGTGGAAGATTGTTAGCGGCAATCAGTGTAAACAATAAACCAAGTGACAAAAACAGCGAATAACTGTAATTTCCTTACTTTAAGCAGTGACTCACAGAGATATGATTTATTTCTGTTTTTGAGGCGGATCAGCTCACAAATAAACATTCACCTTTCATCTCAGATGCTCTCACTGCGTTTAGTTGCAGGCTCAAATCACAGACAGTGATAGACATTTGAGTCTATGTTTAGTTGTGTAAAAACAGGAGGCCAAAAATAACTGCCTGAACAGACTCAGCTCGCCAAGTGATAAAGATCTCCTCTCCATTGTTGGTTTTGGGGGCGGTGCAGGGATTCAAAGAGGCAACATACTCATTAGCCGTGTTTGTGTATAAGTTTGTTTGTGTGTTAGCATTTGCGTGTAGTTACATGATCACTTCTGAACAATGTGTGTGTGTGCTTGCAGAGGAACATGTATTTGTCTGTAGATGTGTGGCCAGTGTGGCTGTTTCAAAAGACAGTTAATTATCAGAGCTTACCCTGCAATTACACAGCTTCTGTTACACAAAGCTCCATAATTTAACCACACAAACTTAAATCTGAGCCTGAATCCAATGACCTGCTGTTGAACTGAATAAATACAGACATCTTTATCTCTTAATAAACAAGTGGAAAGTAAGTACATTTACTGATGTACTATACTTAAATACAATTAGTATTTCCATTTAATGCCCGTACTTTGTACTTACTCCACTACATTTCAGTGGGAAATATTGTAGTTTTTAGTCTGTTATATTTATCTGTCGGCTATAGTTACGAGTTACTTTGCAGATTATTATTTTACGTACCAAATGTATGATCAATTTATGAAGATGTTATGCATATGTATCGATTAAACCAGGGTTTTCCATTTTTTAGTTTTCCCACAATAGATCCACATTAGACCATGAACCCCCATTTGGAGAGCATTTTGTCTTAAGGTAGTATCTTATTTTTTATATTTAAGTCTTCATAGTCAAATAATGATCAAACTGGGATCACTATAAATTACAATAAATCACAACCCTAACTCTTCCTTTGTTGTTGCAACTTCCTAAACAATTTGTTAAAATATTTTATTCCTCCCCCTACAACTCACTCAAGGACCCCAGTTGGTTCCTGGATCCCAGTTTGAAAATTCGCTGGATTAAACTACTCAAAAGTATATAAAGTAATTACAATGAGCCAAGATCAGTAACAATAATAAAATGCTGCCTAGATATTAATGCATCAAGAATAATAATCATGTAAAATATACAAATTTAACACTCCACTCTGCATGATAAGTAGTTTTGCTTTCAATATTTTTAAGTATGTTTACTGATAATACTTATGAACTTTGACTTAAAGCTGCACCTCATCAATGTTTTTACATGAACAATAGGTTAAATGACTGTGAGTAGTGTTAAAGGGGTCACTCATAATGACAGACCTACAAAGAATTATTACCGAGCTGTGTAGTTTCCTTCAGCTTTACAAAGTGCTTAAGTGTCTTTCAGCCCATTGTTTTTGTCGTATTTGTTCAGTCTCACAGGTCTCATCAGTGTTTCCGGTTACAGTTCTGACAAACCCACCGTAACTCTACCCGTCCAGAATCAGTCAGCAGACAGACATTGTTTGCAAACTGGTGAATATAATGGAGCTTTTAGCAGAGCCAGATATTTCCATAAGGAGTTAGTGGTGACCAAAACAGAGCTGAAAGGTCGTCACAGACACGACTCCTAATAATTGATAATGTGTCTCTGTGTCTGCTAGTAATAGCAGAGTAAATAGAAAAAAGTTTGCTAACAAGTTCACCAGTGTGTCATTGTTGTGTTTACAACTTGTTTGTGCTGCCCCCAAGTGGCCAAAAAGTCTGTTAATTCAGGTTTAAGTACATTTATGTGATAATCTTATTTTACTTTTTTTTTTACTTCGGGAAGATTTATTTAGATTCTTTTCTTTTCTTTTCTTTTCTTTTCTAAATTAATATGATAAATAATCTGTTACAGATAACCCTGTAGTTATATTTTTCATTATGCAGAAAATAGTCCCTGTGAGCTGTGTTGCTTTCATGTATAAGTAGCATTTACTGCTGTAGTTGGTTGAGGTGATGCTAATTTTAGCTAATGTTGGGTAGTTTATAACAAATATCTTCTAAGATGACGACATGTTTTGTCTGTAAATTCATAATTTGCAACGTTACCAGTAACTCTAATAGTGCAGTAGAATAAGAAAGTATGGTGAAATGGAAAAAAATAAGTTAAGTACCTCTAAACTGTACTTGAGTAAAGGATGTAAATAGTTCTTCCACCGCTTTAAGTAACAAGAAGTTTCTCTTTTCATCCACAGCAAACTACGACACCAAGCCCAGAGTGAGCGGTTTGGATACAGAGAGGTAAAAATTAGGTTAATATTTAGCACACTTTAAGGTATAAATCAATGAAATCTCTCCTAAATATAATTATTATTTTTTTTTTTTTACTCCTACAGGTGGTACTAAAGGGAGATCCAAAAAAGTTGAGTCTTCATGGGGTAAGGATGTGATTTACTATAGATGTACATTTGCAGAGCTTAAAACTTATTTAATGTGACACTAAAAAAAAGAAACATAATGCATGATAATATCATCGAATGACTGACCTATCTCTGTCCTGTCTGTCACTCACAGCAGACGTGCGCCGTTTGTCTGGAGGACTTCAAAGTGAAAGACGAGCTGGGAGTGTTACCATGCCAACATGCTTTCCACAGGAAGTGAGTACCGGAGAGCACAGTGGAGTCTTTCTTTGCTCTTGTTACCACTTTGCACCAGCCTGGGCTTGTTAAAATGAAAATGCTCATGTCTGATGTGAAGTCCAGTCATCAGGAATAACACAGAAGTATCGGTTGAGTATTCCCGACTACAACACGGCACCTCAGGAGTTCTCGTTCACTCGCTTTTCCCGATTCTTTCTATTCAGGTTAAGGAAGGAATTGTCAGGGCAATAGTGTATCGCAGAGGACACCTTGTAGATGGCAGGTCAATCTAGTACTATGATCTTGTAAGGAAGGGTTTTTTTTAGGTAGTCGAGCCATAAACGGTACAGGAATATCCCCCCCAAAGACTCCAGATATTGGTTGCATTGTTGAAGGAGTGAAGAACGATATCTGAAGATCTGGACGGATGTGATGTGGAGTGGAATCTCAGTGGAAGGATCACTGGGTGCCGGTTCTGATTAAAGTGAAGGTGAATGGGGTGAAGGAGCGTCACATTGTTCAGACACTGAAATGAAAGGAAACAGTTTGGCAGACACAAGACTGAAACAAATTTAAATACTTTCCCGATCAAATACCAGTTTAATAAGGAGAGATCATTTGGAAATGTATAACAGTATTTATTAAAAAGAAAAGAAAGACTGAAGTGATTAGACTCCATTGTTGATCCATATGAAGATGGCAGAAAAAACATTGGTCAGATCTGGTGACGTCAGAATTGTGAACGTAGAGACTTTGACTGCGGGGAAAAGCAATTGGAGAAAATTAAAGCAGGAAGAAATAGCAAGAACTTCCTTAATAAAGGAGTGACTTTTAAAAGGATTTTATAGTGTGGTGTTACCACTTTTACTCACAGCGTTTGTTTTGACCAGAAAAAAGTGTCTCATGTTCTCATGTTGCAAATTTGGTGAAATGGGTCCCAGTTTGGCTTCTCTTCTAATGTCTCTCCTGTCCATGTTCTTCTGCACAGGTGTCTGGTAAAGTGGCTGGAGGTGCGCTGCGTCTGCCCCATGTGCAACAAACCCATAGCTGGCCCACCTGAGCAGCACCATAGCATAGGGACTCTGCTGGACGAACTGGTGTAACCTCTCACCCCCCTACCAGCCTGGGTGGGACGCCTGCGCCCGGCCAAACCAGCTGGTAAAAGTTAGCGACCAACAGGAAGAGGGACATTGTTTTTGCTGTTAAAACACAGCAAAGCGGCAACATGATGATAGTAAGTTGGGGTAACCTAGTTACCACTCGAAAAAGGACTATGAAGGATGCTGTTGCCTGGCAACCATCTCCGAGATGGCAACACGACACCTTGTAGTGTCTGAGAGATTCTCTCCAGCCACCCACACATCACTCCACCACTCTTCTTTCAACATCCCCCTTTTCACCCGTTCCATCACATCTTCTCGTGTTGCCTTGAGTGAGGTTAATGGCACCACTGAAGTGAAGGAGACACAGTTGCATTTTTCACATTGATGTGAACAAATGAGTGTTAAAGGATGACAGTAGTGATCCCCTCTCAGCATGAATGAGTGTTGTATGCCATGGTGGTCACTGATATGAGATATCAAAATTGGCTGAGGTTATTGAAACTCTCGTGAAAAATGGATGGAGGTCTTACATTCTTCGAGAGAAGAATTTTTGGGCCACAGATGAGTTACACAGTGCTAACAGTAGATTCCTAGAGTTTATTAAATTAAAAAAATGGTAGAAGAAGGGTTTCACAAAAGTGTCTGGAGCTGTCTGGAAACAAAGGCCTGTAGAGAATTAATAATACTGTAGCGAAGGCACAGACAGGGTTGATTAAGACTGCCTTCAAGGAAATTAAAAACTTTGGCCTAAGATTATAAATTGGAGTCACACCAGTTAAAAAACAATGATTGAAAAGGTGGATTAACGCCTCATCAGTAAGACCTAGATTATTTGTGTTACTTAGAAGAAGCAGCTCAAACTGTAGTCCATGTGTAGCAGATTAATCAGTGTTTTTGCAGATGCGTTGAACTGATACTGATGTGTAAAAATCCATATTTGGTGCCCACCTCTACAGTGATATCATGTATGTTCATGCTCCAGTTGTGTTTTTTTCCACTGGGATGTTTTATTGTTCAGAAATGTTTTATTGTGTTAATGTAGATGGAAGGAACTGACACCTCCTGCCTGTTGCTGTAACAGTTCGGTTCTTTGTTGATATATATGTTTTTTTTTTTTTTTTGATATTGCACTTTGAATTCACAAAAAAAAAAAAAAACAATTTCCATGCCTTTGTTCTTCACAAATGTTAGACTAAGGTTTGGATGCAGCACAGCAGGTCCCTTGTTTTCAGGTGTGGTGAATCTTTTATAAAAGTCTATGAAGTATCAGAGATGCTGCTTCATCTCAAGATAAAGGAAGCAGCAGTACAGACCCTCGCTGTTGTTATGTGAATCCATCTGGGAAGCAACTGAATCTCACTTTCATACATAGCATTTTTGTGGCATTATTGCTGGTGATTCTGTTTTACATTCCTCGGGCGTAGGTTGTTTTTATTTTAGTTTGTTGTGAATTACAACGATTCAGAAAGCAAAACACTGCCTAAATTGAGCACAAAACTCACAAAGCACATTCTCCAGATAGAAAAGGCACCTGCACTGAAATTAAATGCCAAACACACACGTAAGGCTGTTGAAGTCACATGAGTCCGTGTGCCAAGAAAAGAAAAAACAAATCCTGTTGCATTTTCAACACGAGACAGAGAAACGTTCACTCTGATTCGGGCCACATTCCACATTTTGTAATCCAACAGATGTAAATAACTTGAAACAGTAATAAATACAGTTGTCTGTTTTGCTCAGCTTCTCTTGTTTATTTCTTGGTAGCCATGTGTATGGCGCCATCACCAGGTGAAATAATGTATGAAAATGATATTATTATATCTGGATCACATGGTTCTCAACCTTTCTGTCTTGTGACCCTTTAAAGCCGAACAGTACCCACAAACCTGTGTCTAATATGAGTAGGTTTTAGAGTACTGTAAATGTGTTGTCGAGACAATGGTTATTGATTGAGCTAATGTATGATTGTCAGTTATTCTTTTGATTGTCTATAATAGAAATTGTTAGCCTTATTTGTCACAAAACATATTCCAGGGTTGTAGGCATTGATTATCCAGTGATTGATATCCAGTAAGTGTTAATTAAGTAAGATGTTTTGGCTTTAAAGGGCCAAATCTAGTCTGCTGTCTAATCTGTCTGACATTTATTCTAACACTATTTGCAAGGCTACATAACACTGAAGGTAAATGTTGAAGTTCTAGAAACATTCTCACTTCTCAATGTGAATGTGAAACTGTAGTTATTAGTTAGTTAAATGTGTGTTTATATCACACACCAATAAGGCTGTTTGCTCAATAAAAGACAAAAGCAAGACATAAAAAACAAGAAATTAAACAATCCAGAGATGTCTCACATGTGAGTTACAGCTCTCTAGACAGGATGCATTAAAAGTGTGATAATAATCATCTCCATCTCAGCTTGAGACAAAATGGATCTACATTTATCAGTGTCCCTCTGTTGGATAAAAATAATAATGAATAAAAGAATATTATACTTACAATAAGTGCTGCACTAAGACAGAAAATAGCTCCACTCTGTCCTTTTCCTTCGAAAACAAAAGGAGTACATGCCATTATACAATAACACACACTTTCATACACACTTTTTAAAATATTAATACTAAAATAAATGAATCATTACAGTAAATACATTCATATTGGGTCACTGGATCTCCATTTAAAGGGAAACCTCTTCTATATAAGTGAATAACAACAAAAGTAGCAAACTCCAACATTTAGAGGAGTCAGAGCTCAGGATTTGACATTCAAATGAAAACAAGGCCCATCTGTATGCTGCCTCATTAAATGTGCAAGACCCCGTCCTATTGGTGTGATCCAACTGGTACCTAGCTATTTCCCTGCAACAGATTGCAGGTGGCAGAGCATCGAAAGTCTGAAGGGCAGTCCTTACTCCGGTTGCCTTCTAATTAGATTTAAGGGCAGGGCGGAGCCTCACTGGACCTGAAAGGGAATTCAGGATGAGGGCAGATGGTGTGAGATCTCACAGAAATGGAAGTGAACACTGGGTCTGATGTAGAAAAAGAGAGTGGAGAGCTGAAGAGAGGGAGGTGCTGGGAAAAGGTGGAGACTGAGAGGAGAAGGAATGGGGGAGAGAAGAGGTACTCAGACCTGAGCAGGACAGCGTTCAGTTGGGCCACTTCAGCAAAATGTTGTGTTGTCTTCCAAACTAAATGTTTGATATGGATAGGTAACCTTCAAAACTAGGCTCGAACGCATGTTAAGAAACTCCTGAGATTAAGAGCAGGAAGAGACGAGCAGTTCAGGATGATGGACATTGCATCACAACTTTCCTTTGAGATTCACAGCAGTTGGTGATTATATCCAAATCTTTTCTTTTTTAAACTGTCTGTCCTTAATTATGACTTTTTAGAGTATTATGTGTGTGTTGGAGGGGGGTGATGTTATACATATTTCAGCCTATGATCTCAGTTTTTTGCAATGAGTTTCATCATGAGAGCTCATAAATGTGATGACCCACTGCCATTTACTTCCAGTAAGGTGTTCGTGTTGAGATGACAGCAAAATGAAAGCATTGCAGTCATTTTAAAATAGATGAATGGCTTTTATGTGAGGCACAAGAGATTAAACATTACAACCATAACCATTTTTAAGCTGAAAGGCAATTGATGCTGTGGATGGATTTTATTAGTGTGCAGGTTAAATAAAATGGCTGAAAGTTGTCTTAATGGTAGAATGCTTTAAAAGGGTTTGCATGGTATGAACACATGCATCTGTAATCACCAGCACACACACACACACAAACACACACACACTTGGGTGGACATGGAAACATAAGCAAGTCTTTCATGAGATCAGCCTCTACCTGAGCAATAAAGAGCCATCTGTGCTGTGAATAAACTGATGATGGCAACACACACTCACACACAAACACACACACACCCACACACACCCACGCACACACACATACAGGGTGGAGAGACACACAGAGAAATGCTTGTTTCTGTCACTTCCCACCTTCAGCGTCGTGGCACTTAGAGTGAATGTAAGGTCAAGTTATTTCTCCTCCTGTGCATTTTTTAGCAGCCAACCTAAACCTGACCAGCAGTCCAACAGCAACGAGAAGATGAAGGACTGTTAATGAAATAAGCTGCTCACACACATCAGGACAGGACTGACAAGGTTGGTTGATTTGCTTTCTCTAGTTGTCTTTTGATTTGTTTGGTGTAGAAAGATTTTCTTTATGTGTCAGTCTTTCTATAAAGTCCTTTGAGACTTTCTTGTGACAAAATGCTAAAAGAAAGTTTAACGTGATGCCAAATTCTTTGCTGTTGCTGTTATTTTAGGTGCACAATCAACAACATTCGATCTGTCTTAGTGCAAATGATTTAATGTCAGTGGTTACCAACCTAAAGGTCAGCAATCTACATTATCTCATTCTACCACTTTAATCCAGATTGAAATATCTCAGCATCTATCAGATAGATTGCCATAAAATGTTCTACAGACATTCATGGTTTCCAGTGGTTGAATCATAATGATTTTGGTGATTCTCTGACTTGCCTCTCCTCAAAATCTTCATTGTTTAAGCTTTGGTTGACTAAAAAATAATATAAATTATATTTTGTGTTAAGTGCCAAATAGCAAATGTTTGCATGCTAACTCGCTAAACTAAGATGGTGAATATGATAAACATTACACCTGCCTGGCATCAGCATGTTAGCAAAGTCATTGTGAACATGTTAGCATATTGAGTTAGTACACCCTCCTCTAGCATGGCTGCAGACTCTTACTCTTGTTTCCTTGTGATACTCTGACCTCTTCAGGCTTGTACAAATCCTGAAAATTAAACAATCTAAGAAAGAAACATACGTTGTTGGTTGAACTGCTCATAGTTTGTGTCCATAACGTGTAATTAGGGGTCATAAGTAGACTTTTATTAGGATTAGAAGCCTAAAAGGTTGGGAACCACTGCTTTAAATGTCCGGTTTAGGAGGATCTATTGGCAGAAATGGAATATAACAAGCAAAAATATGTTTTCACTAAAGTACCATAAAAATAAGAAACGTTATGTTTTTGCTACTTTAGAATGAGTTTTTATATCTACAGATGCAGAGGGTCGCCTTCCATAGAGGCCGGCATGTTGAACTGCCATGTTTCTATAGTAGCCACACCAGTAAACCAGTAAACCAAACACTGGCTCTAGATAGACTGCCATTTTATTGTGCATTTTGGGGCCACCGTAGTTTCTCCTTTGCACTTGGAAGGGGAGGGTGAAGCAAGGGAATAACAATACACGGATTTAGTGTAGACTAAATCCTACACACTGTGTAAACTGTATATTGTTGTCATTATAGGGAGTTTCAGCGCTCTGGTGATGATCTCTGGTCCTACACTGGTCTGTGACACAAACACATTGGTCCAATATTTAAGAGAAATTAATGTTTGGACATTGTGGGAAGATGCTGCCTGAGGAAGTGACAGATATAAGGATGACATGAGAAAACAAGAAGACATCTTCTTTAAAAGCTGTAATTTTTCAAATCTATGGTTTAGGAACTATGGGTTGCTCTGCTTTTTGTGGATGCAACTCCACGTGACAAGAGTACAGTTATGATTTTATAAGCCTCAAGTGTTTAAAGATTTTTAAAAAAGACAATCCACCATGTTTAAACGGTGGCTTTTAGCCTTGTTGGCCCGTGTCGGCCTCATTGTGCTGGGCCTCTGCTGCTGTCTGTTCCTGTTCTACCTCCTGGCCTGTAAACCGACGTCTCGCAGCAGCCAGCAATCTCTGTTGTGGTCTGGAGGGGCCACCAGTAAAGAGGGATACATGGCCTTGTTGCAGGAGAGGGAAGACTCTCACAGACATTACATCAACAGCCTGACGAAGCAGATAGCCCAGCTAAAAGAGGCTCTCCAGGAGAGGACGCAGCAGCTCCAGGAGTCCCTGGATAAAGCTAAAACAAAAGGGATTCTGCCTCAGGGTCTGGAGAGTCTGCACAAAACCCCCACGCAGTCTGACTTGAAGGTAGGAAAACATGATACAGGATGATGCAGATGAAGAAAATATGCTGAATTCATGTCTGCTGATGAGATAAATGAAGTTATAGATGTAGCAGTAAATGTTACATCATGTCCTCTAGGAGTTCTTCCGCTCCCAGCTGAACCAGGCGGAGGTAAACTCAGGTGTAAAGCTGCCCAGTGAATATGCAGTGATTCCTTTCGACACTTTCACCCTGCACAGGTGAGTGTGACAGCAGAGCCAGCAGGGCCTTTAGGAGTAACTGTGTAACCTACTTCTGATGTCAGATCTTACCTTATGCAATACTGCCTCTTCATTAAGTGAGTTTTTGTGCTGTCACTCAGGGTGTACCAGCTGGAGATGGGGCTGACCAGGCATCCGGAGGAGAGGCCTGTGAGAAGAGACCGCAGAGACGAGCTGATAGGCACAGTGGAAACAGCTCTGCACGTCCTCAATGGACCTCAGCAACACACAGACAACACCAGGCGGAAGCACACATACTCCCCTTCAGACTTCATAGAGGGTGAGATTCATTCATCTTCACACGTTTACCCTTGGTGGACTGCTGTCACTCCACAGTTGGTAAACACATGCAGACATGCATGTCCAGCTGCCGTTTCATTTCACGTCATTATTCATTTTGACATTGTCATACATGTTTTTTTTTGTTTGGGAGGGGTTGTTATTGTCATTTTCAGTTTTAGGGATGCATCTCTTTTGGGATATTTAGTCAATCCACGGATCTCTTTTTAAAAAAATGTCTGTGCACTTCACTGCATGAAACTAAATACTGAGACCAGCAGCCCAAAGAGACTGAATGAATGTAACTGATAGTGGAAACACTGGATTTTACAAGATGATAACACAGACAAAGACATTGTAGTTAATGTAGATTGGTCATTGGGTATATGCCATGCTCGGCTAATTGGTGCAGATACTGATCCAGCATATCAGATTGGTACATCCATAATAACTATAGTTTGTTTATAATTTCAATTCAGTTTCATTTTACTTAGTTTCCAGAGTGGGTTTGCTTATTGTTGTTATTGTTTGAAATGTTTTAGTTTTAGTTGAGTTTTTATTAGTTTTTAAATTATAATATGGTGGTTATCTGATTGAAGATTTTCAGAATAGAAGTCCAGAATATCTATTACAATACAAACACATTGACTCACAGTCAATGTGGACATCCCAATCTTTATTTTATTATTTTTTAAGTAAAAACTATCATTTCAGTTAGTTTGTATTTTTATTTCAGTTAATTCAAATGTTTATTCACACCTAGCTTAAGTTTTTTCTATAACAACCTTATACCTGAACCTAGCCACTGAAGTCACCATTTTGACAACAAGCTGTGGAAGTGGTTTCCAGGAGAAGTTAGTTTGATGTTTTTCATGTGGATTGAAGATAAAAGGCAGATTTAAGAGTTACTCTTTCTGTAAATTGACTCGAACACACCCAATGTGTATGGCTGTATCGATCTCATCCACACCTGCTGACACAAAGTTACAGTATTTTTCTAGCTCTGGCACATGAATCCCACCTGCAAAACTCTGACCTGTTGGTTGTTTTTCCAACCAGGGAAATGACCGTCAGTCAGCACAACACCAGACTTATTGAGACATTGTGATACCATTGCTAAAATATCAAGATGGATTTACAGTGTAAAGCAGTGTACAGTGCATTCACATTGCTTGAAATTATTAAATAAATATCCACAATAACATACAGTCCTAATTTCTGCTCATTAAGAACTTAATTGAAGTTAAAAGTTTTTTCTAAAAGTGGATGTGTGGAGTCATTTTGCTTATAATAACTTTTCATTATATCACATTATGTAATACTTCAGCCTCTGTCCGAAACAGGTGTAACTAATCAGTTAAGTGGAATGAATTAACTAGTAATTTACTAATTAAACACTATGTCCAGTTTCAAAATAACATAACCCTTTCTAGGAACCTTCCTATGAACTTATTGTCATATCAGTTCTTTTCTACAAAATTATAGGAAAATATTCTCCTGTTTCCTCTGTCTCTGTCCCAGGGTTGACTCGTATAGAGCGGGACAGAGGAACAGTTTATGAACTGATGTTTAAAGGCGACGGCCCACAGGACTTCACACAGCTCGTGCTCTTCAGGCCGTTCGGACCTGTGGCCAAGGTGAAGAGTGAGACTCTGGACATGCGCAGCATCCTCATCAACATCATCGTACCTCTTTCCAAGAGGTCAGACGCATTCAGGCAGTTCATCAACAACTTCAGGTATCATTTGAAAGTGAATTAACACACTGGCACCCACTCACAGACACTAACTGTGATTGTATCATGACATTATTGATCTCAAACTTTAGTGATTCGTTTGGAAAGGCTGAGTGAATCCTTATCTTAATAGAGTAGCTTGGTTGAAAGCCAGTGAGACTTCTCGCAACTTTAGAGAAAAGGAGTAGAGTAGATTTATAAAGCTGATTTCACAGGTGTGGATGTAATTGTTGCTCTTATCTGTAAAAAGGTAATTTGTGGCTATATCCTGATAAAGTGGGATAGATGTGGGCAATGTTTATCTGCATAATACCTCCTTCTGTGTTTCTTGGTTCAGAGAAGTGTGCATCCAGCAGGACGGCAGGGTTCATCTCACGGTGGTCTACTTTGGTCGAGATCAGATAGACCAGGTGAAAGCCATGCTGGACCAGACCACAAGGTAAATGTAGACATTTTACAGCTTAATCATCAGCTAATGTCTCATTAAGAGTAAAATGCAAATTTTAAATAATAATTACCTACAATATCTTCTTCTGATGACACAGTTATAGCCTCCCACACGCTGCTTTTATACAATTTTATACATTTATTTCTCCTTTTCTTCTTAAAAGATCCAACAAATACTCAATCTACAACTTTATTTATATAATTTAAAGCAGCAACAAGGAAATTTCATTTGGCAACATGCAGCAATACTGATTACTTAAAGAATTAATATCTTACAGCAAGACTATATCGAAATCTGTTTCTTCTTCTCAGCTCTTTTGGAAGTTACTCTCACAGATGTCTTTGTGCTGCACTGCAGATATTTTGCCCATAAGATTTTAAAAAAAAACTGCAAGTGAGAGAGTATCAGTGTTTTAGAGCTGCAGGCTAATAATAAGCTCATCCTGTGGAGCCTCTGGACCCACAGGGACCAACACACACCCCACTATCCTGTTTAGGCCGGGAGGATAAAATCTTTTTTACTTCAGGCTTTTGGGAGCAAAATACCGTAAATCTTGTATAAGCTTTTGTTAACTATGTAAAATGCAACGGTGCAACAGACTGATAACCCAACTCTGTCTGCAGGTTGATTGTTTTTTAATTTACTCTTCAAATGATAACACTCAGAAGCATCGGAGTACCTGTCTGATGAATCAGTCCTCCTGTCCTTTTTCCATCAGAGAGACTCGGTTCAGGAGCTTCACTTTGATCCAGCTGAATGAGGAGTTTTCTCGTGGGCGGGGCTTAGAAGTGGGTGCCAGGGCTTGGAGGCGGAGCCAGAACGTCCTGCTCTTCTTCTGTGATGTTGACATCCACTTCACTGCTGATTTCTTAACTTCCTGTCGCCTCAATGCAGAGCCTGGTGAGAGAGAGGATTGCTTCACTTAAAATTGTATGAAACATTTACCCAGGAGCCTTTTCAACATCATGCAACACGTTTTCCTTCCAGACACGCCTTTACTGTTACTATAACCTCTTTCTATAAGCATGAAACAACTTAAACTGCAAACTGTCACTGCCATCCGTTTTACTGAATTAATTAAAGGCCAAACACCCACACAGATGTTTTCTGGCTGATCAAACCTCAGGTTGGGCAGAGCTATGCTGGGAGTTATTTTAGGAAACCAAAGTTTCAAAAAAGTCAAAGACCTTTTTCACTGCAGTCATTTTGACATGAAATAGTAGGGTAAACACAGGTGTTGCCAATAACACTAATTAAGTTTCTGTTCCATCCGGGTCAAACAGAGTGAGGCGGCTGCTCATCTCGCTGGAAAGGCTCTGCTACACTAAATGAACCTTCATTAGTATCATTGGTAATGCCTGTGTTTACCCTACTATTTCATATCAAANNTAACTGAGTGGTTTACTCTCTGTTTCAATCTGGCAAACAAAACTGTTCATGGCGCTTATGCTGCTCTGTGCAGCAGGTAAAAAACCACCACATGTTCCTGCAGCATCATAAACAATAAAGATAATGATAAGCATCTATTTCATGTGATTTGTTGTGGCTGAATCCGACTGTCTCTGCCAACAAGATGCGATAAAAATGAAAGTTTACCACTGCGGCTCTGACACCTCCTGCTGCTGCTCCTCACACCCGATGTCTTAAATGCTGCCTGCATGTTCATGTTATTAGTAACACCTGTGGTTCTCCTACGATCACAAGTCAAAATGTCTGCTGTGAAAAACACTCAAACGCATGAGGACTTGCACTAACCTCAAAATTAAAATGATAATTTATGAGATTCCTTTGATTTTGTCCCTGTCTTTATATATCAATAAATCATCATTGTTTTTGTCTCTAGGTAAGAAAGTGTACTATCCAGTGCTTTTCAGCCAGTACAACCCATCTATTATCTACCGTAATCACACAGTCCTGCCCTCTGTTCAAAAACAACTGGTAGGTAAAACATAATATACAAACAGCTACATTTACTTGAATGAATAAGAGCAAATGTCATCAGGATTGCGAGACACTGATTTCCTGCTGCTCCTTTTGCCTCAGGTGATAAGGAAGGAAACTGGATTCTGGAGAGACTTTGGGTTTGGAATGACGTGTCAGTACAGGTCTGATTTCCTCAACATAGGTAATGGAAAAGCTTGTTTCATTACAAATGTCCCTAATTTCATGTTTTAAAAGACATAATACAATTAAATATTCATGTTAACTCTCAGTTGTATAATATACACATACTGTTTGTAGCAATAAATGCATGAAAGTACATTATTCTGTGCATTTTATGTAAAAACACACTATTTTCTCTCTTTTTAGTGATCGTCCAATGCTGCTACAGTTATTGTACATAAAAAAGTTAAACCACCCTGACTGAAAAAGCTCTTTTACTTAGTTTATACCTTATCTCTGCTTTAAGCCCCTCTCCTTCAAATAAATCCAATAAAGGAAACACTCTTTTAAAATGCTGTTATTAACTCTGATTCTCATTGTCTCAATGTGTGTGTGTCTTATTTCATTTCCTGGCAGGTGGTTTTGACCGAAACATCAAAGGTTGGGGGTTGGAGGACGTGCACCTGTACAGAAAGTACCTTCACAGTAAGCTGATGGTGATTCGCTCTCCGTCTCGAGGCCTTTTCCACTTGTGGCATGAGAAGAACTGTGCTGACGAGCTCCCTCCAGACAAGTACAAGATGTGCATGCAGACCAAAGCCATGAGCGAAGCCTCGCACAGCCAGCTGGGGGAGCTGTTCTTCAGACGGGAGATTGAGCTTCATTTGAACGCCCAGAAGCAGAAGAACAGAGGGACATAATGAGGACAGTTGACTTGGGGTTGGCATTGAGATAATAAGGATCTTGTGATGTTATTAGTCACTGTTATGTATGCTCTTCTTCTGGTTTTCATGATAATTTATGTATACTTACATTAACTGTTCAGCTACAGACAAAAGATGATTTACTATGATTATTATTGTCCACGTAGACACATAAACTTGTACAAAAGAAAACAAATAATTGCTGATATTTTTGTGTCAATAAAAGAATGACCTGTATGATCTATTTGTCAACTTCTTTATATAGAAAAGTCATAGAGGGAATGTATGTAGCAAAAACTACATAATAGTTTATAATGTGGTTTACCTTAAGGCTGGTGTTCTCAAACCTTTTCTGTCATGCAGCAAAAAATCCCAGGTACTCATATTAATCACCTGGTAGTATTATGGGGGAAACTAGTAACAAAAGGTATAATTTTGTTGAACTATCAATATCTATAACTACTGGTACTGGTGCATCGGTACCAGTGGCAGAATGTAACACAGTACATTTACTCATCTGTACTTCAGTACAAATTAGAGGTAAACTTTATAAAGTTTATACTTATTTCACTACATTTCAGAGGCAAATACACTACATTTGTCTGACAGCTTTAGTTTGGTGATTTGGGTGATACTATTTTTTTTAAACTTTATATCACATTATTATTATTGATGCATGAGTGAGTTTAAGCAGCATTTTACTGTTGGAGTTGGTCAGGATTGAGGTCGTTTTAACTATTGTTGCTGTTGGGTATTTTAGTGTATAACACTGTATCATATTGGATGAACTTATCATGTGTTTTGTATGTAAATAATTCATCTCTAAACCAAATAGTACCTACAGCTGATAGGTAAGGGAGTGGAGTGAAAAGTACAATGTTGCCCTTTGAAATGTAGTGGGGTAAAAGTATGAAGCAGGACAAAGTACAAAATAATATAATAGCTTAATATAACACTTAGAAAGGGGGCAGTTGTGCATAATTGGTACTAAAAGTAAATATAAAAGTATATTCAAGTTATTTTTGAATGAAATGAAATAACTTTGTAATATAGTATTTTCCATTGGAGCAGTCTAATTAAAGGGTCTCGAAACTTCCTCAATCAATGCCTAAATATGACAAAAATATGTTATGAATGAGGACCTTACAAAGCTTTAAATAACACTACATCTACAGCTGTTACAAGCCTATATATTACATTTACATAAAAGCTGAAATGAATTGACCAGAAAATTCCTTCACTGTTATGTGCTCCATTCATGAGGAGACAGTAAACTCTGTCCTATTAATAGAGATCTAACCTCATTACCTCTGTGGACACTGGAGGAGGGAGGAGCAACTCTGCATCGGCCGACGGCTGTCGTAGCGTCAACACAGGCACGCGATAGGCCCGAAACTCCCATTACCACTTCCCCTGTCCTGTGCTGCGTTCAAGTACACCTCGGATATCCCATATAAGATTTGTCCAATGGCAGTATAGGAATTCACAGACACACAGTGGCAACTCAGTTTGTTTACTTGCATACAGGACTTTACTACGGTCAGGATAACGTTGATCACAGACTGTAATCAATAATTACGTTATATAATAGTATAGTTATATATAATAACACATGTTAAACAGAAGCTCGTATTTTTTTAGTATCATTAAATAGCATAAACCAAGAGAATTAACAGAGGAGCAGAATAATTTTAATTTTAATAAATTTGAACCAATAGGAAACAATGAATAACAAATAGAGTTGAAACACTTAGTTGTCAGAATACTGATTATAATCTATTGATAGAAAATTAATTGACTACAATGTAAGCTGCTTATCCCCCAGTGAGCCCCCAATATGTACAGTATTGTATTGTATGCTTTTTCCTATGCCATAATGCTACCTCGGTGGTAGTTTCATTCATTTAGTAGTGTGCAACATGAAAGCACAAAACTGAAACAAACTCTCAAAAACATGGCCTCAAGATCAGGAGATGAAGCAGATATGAACATCAAAACAGGTTTTACTTGCTGCGATTATTCCTCCTATTCATACCGGCCAGGAAAACTTCCCCATACTGCACTCTGAATGTAAGCAATAGAGGACAAAACCCACAGTCCTATTTTTACGCAAAAAATGATCCCAGAGTTTATTTGAAGTTAACATGATGCTCCTGCAGTCTGAATTCGACAGATTTGTGTTTAGATAGTGATAAAAAAGAGGAAATTGTATGCTAAAAAGACTGTTACTTTGAAAGATATCCACTTGGTTTGTCTAACTCAAACTGCTGAAGCCTCAAATCAGCATCAGATAAACACTGTTGCATAAAACAGACCAATCACACAATCTCAGCAAACCTGTATCAGTGTTCATATGGGTTGTTGTTGTTGTTATGAACCTATGCTTTAAGGCGCTTTAATCCAGTAGTGACTATTCCCAAATCATTCTTTAAAAATTAAATGAGCAGTCTGGGACATCAAATCAAATGTTCATTCGAGTCAAATTCTGATTCTGATACTTTTGTACTTTTACTTAAGTAACATTTTTAATGCAGGATTCTTACTTGTAGTGTAGAAATACACTGTACCTTTGCTAATCTGAGCACTTCTTCCATCACTTTCACTTACCAAACTTCACCCATGCACAGGTCGCAATCTGCATCCAGCACAGTCGTCATTCCTCCGGGCTGTACGTGAAGGCAGCATGAATCACAACCGGGTAGAGTAGCGCTGCTTTGAGTCCGTCCCTCACCGGTAATGTCTCCTCTGAGGACAGGACGGTATTATCGGCTGAAGAAATCTTCCTGCCGCGTTATGATGGTTTGTGAGCAGTTGAAAGGGTGAGGCTCTTCACGTCTGTGGTGGTGTTAGATTAGTTTTTAGCATATAGTTAAGTGTTTTTCACCTAGAATAGCCTATATATTTTTTTACCTATTTGTTTTTTTTTTTACATCCCCGGTAGTTTTTTTTTTAAGCTTCTCGGACAGTGTCTCGGAGTTTGGTGGCAGCGCAATGACACTGCTGTGTTTTAATTTTGTGCTGGAATAGCGAGACATGTGCGGCAGATAAACTGCGTCTCGTCTCGCCTAAAAGCAGCCGGGACAACCGACACCACCGGACATTTTTTACAAAGACAGACACCGGGAGACGGAGACGCAACATGTTTGAAGCTTCAGGGATCCCTTTCATCGTGCTGGACGTTACCTGTCTTATCCTCGGTATGTACACATCTAATCCTGTTAAACCAGCCGTTTAAAATCAGAGTTGTTTATTTATTTGTCTCTAAAGTGACTTTTCTTTATCATCAAACATAAATTAAAGGACTCCTACAGCGCAGCTCCTCTGGAGACATGTTATATAAAGTAGTTGTTTAAGCAAATCCATTCAAGTGATTTGCATGAACGTCATATAAATACACATGAGAAGGCTTGAGGTTTAAGGAACCGGGGAACCAGGAAGATGGAAAAAAAAAAAGGCAACAAAGTCCCACCCTGTGTGTTTTATTTTCCCTGCAAAGCTGTATTTTTAGCTCCGTGTTTGGAATGTAATCATAGCACAGAGACATGCTGCAACAGGACCACTGCGTGGGATTAAAAGTGCTGCAGTGTTACTGCAATAAAACAATTTAAAGAAACCTTTGTACGGTAATGGAGACACTCAGCCCAGTTCAGAGACTGATAAGGATAGAGAGGCTGAGACACACAAAGCTCCACAGATATTTTCCTGGGATTAATTTGCACTCAGTCACTTCGCTTAGTCAGTGTCTTGTGGTTGGCTGTGCTGCTGACTGTGCACCAATCCTCTCATTTAGTTTTGGCAGCAACATCCAAGCTGGAAAATGTAATTTTTATTTCCAGTCCCGTGCCTTCTGTCCAAAAGCTTAAAAAGTGTGGTTCACTATAAGTTGAGACTCTTCTGTTCCACAGTGTGTTCAGGACACTCCTGTGGTGGAAGAAGTATTCAGATCTTTTTTTCTTAAGTGAATTAGAAATACCACAATGTAAAAGTATAAGCAAAAAGTATGTAAAGTATCAAAAGTAAAAGTAGCTTATCCATTATGCAAAAACGGGAAATTGGATCATTATTACTGTGTGTAAGCAGCTGTATTGTTGTAGTTGGTCGAGGTGGTACTGATTTCACTTTTCTATACAGTTTTATTGTTTAGTCTATGTTACTTTTTGTGTAAAATAATATACAAAGTAACTACAGCTCTCAAATAAGTACAGCACTTGAGTAAATTTACTCTGTTCCTTCATCTCATTGCATAAAAGTAATATAAATACTCCATTAATATGTCTTCTATGCTTAACTCATCAACCTGTTATCAGTTAATATAATACAATATAAAGTACCTTGATGTCAGACATTGATTGGATTTCCCTACCTTGATAAAGGTTGTTGGACTGCGTAAACACCGGGGACATTGATCGATATAAATCCAGAACTTTATCAGTCCCTCACTGACGATGTCTGATATGTTGGACTTTTATATATATTAAAATGTCGTCAATAAATATGAGTATAAGACTGATAATGTCTGTCTTATCCGTTGTAACACTATAATACATAATTATTATTTTTTCTGACTTTACATTTAATTTTCTTATCTAATTTATTGAGAACATACAAACACATATATATATATATATCTTTGCATCATCTCTTTACTGTTTATAAGTGGTTTCATAAGCTAATGATTTCATATTTCTGTGGCATTATTATTACTATATCTGAATGCAAGATGTATAATAATCTACTCTGCAACATAAAGGGGATTTAAAAGCACTCACACAGAGAATGCACATTCAGTGATTACACAATCTAATAACAAAACAAAGACTACTTGTACACACTGTTATAGATAGAAAGTATTGCAATCAAAAAGCTCCAATTTCAGCAAATTGTCAACAAAAATACAAACAATCTGTGACACATTAATGCAGAGAAGAAATAAAGAAAGAATAAATAGTCAAATTAATAAAAAATAAAATATTTAAATAATGGATATTGTTCCACTATTATCATATCCCCTCTGCCTCTGCCCTTCTCTTCCTTGCAGTTTATGTTTTTTACGTGGAACACAAACTCGTCTTAGTTGAAGTAGATGGAAACTTTCAAAGGTTAACTGCATGATCTGATTTTAGTTTATTCAGAATTTCAAAAGGCATTAGTGAGTGTAATTTGCCCTGCAGTAGCTTTAAACGAGCAGGCCTAAACAAAGCTCTGTGACTGTGTGATAACTCATTCAGCATCATTGCCAGTGATCGTACTTGGAAGAATGCCTCTCATTGCATCACTGATTTCATTTTAGCCAAATGCCTTTATTATCATCTCAGAAAAGCTGCAGATAAATGAAGAATGAGTAACCAAAGCAAGTCAAAGCATGTGTTTTGGTGGTAATGATCCTCTTCAGATGGTCCTACCTTCATTGTTCAGCGTTGTTTAACTGTATGCCCTTGAACAGACTCAGTTTTCTTTGCAACTAAATGAAACCCACAATATTCACCAGCGTTTTTTACAGGAGGGGAAACGCCTGATCCCAACAACTTGTTTCCTGTGATGAAACTGTACCATTATTTGCATTGTGTAATAGTAGCAGTGGCTCAATCTGACTCACATGAGTATTTGCAGTTGCTTGTGAACGTGATGTACATTATGATGACACAAGATAGGCTGAAATCTGACAGAAGTAGAATTTATTGTCGTCATGTGTCACTTTCTTTTTTTTTTAACAGTCGGACTTCCATTTTTTATCCTTACCCCTCAACACAACCCTTTCAAACGGGGTTTCTTCTGCAATGACGAGTCCATAAGATACCCCCTCAAAGAGGACACCATATCCTACCAGCTGCTGGGTGGAGTCATGATCCCCTTCACATTGATTGTGGTAACAGTCGTCTTCTTCCATAAGCTCTCTGACCTGTAATTGTCACATCCTTTGGCATCTTTTACTTGCTCAAGAAAAAGGTCACTTATTGTTTAATCTCTTCTGTTGCAGATCGTCTGTGGTGAATGCCTTTCTGTTTACTTATCACGCATCAAGAACCAGTCTTTGGGGACCAAGTATGTGGCCTGTGTGTACAAAGCTGTGGGGAGCTATGTGTTTGGAGCTGCTGCCAGCCAGTCTCTGACAGACATTGCCAAATACTCCATCGGACGTCTGCGGCCAAACTTCCTGGCTGTATGCAAACCAGCATGGGATCGCATCAACTGCAAAACTGGTGGATACATCGAGAACTTCAACTGCACTGGAGAAAAGTTTCTGGTGGATGAAGCCAGGTAATGGTCGGGAACAGTAATTAAATTAATCCCACAAGGAGGGGAAATGCCTGTGGGATCCCAACATATTTTGTTCATTACAAGCATTGTGTAATAGTTGCATAGTCTCTCTGGGAGGAACCTGGTAGTTATTTGCATGTAACGTCTGTGGACAAGGTAGTTAACTATTAGATGTTTTCCTCCACTATAGTAAAATGTATCTTTTCAATCCGGCAATCCTTAAAGGGAATCAGTATTACAGTTCTATAAAGTTGCAAGAGACAGATTAAAAAGAGGATAATCAAAATATATGCAGTAGGCTGAGATATCCTTACTTTTACCTCCAAAAACACTAAATTATACACTTTTCACAATGGTATTCAGTAAGATAAAGTAAGATAAACTGTACTGAAATTGTACATGTCACAGTAACTGAAGTACAGAAACAGATTCATAAATAAGTAACCTTAAGAAACTTTAAATTCTAGTATATACTATATACACCTACTATTGACAGATGAGCAATGGAAATAAATACATAAAAGGTTCTAAATACTATATACAACAACATTAATGATAACTGTAAAGTATTTAATAGTGTCTTGTTAGAACCCCCTACCTGGTAGACGCCCACATCCTTTTGTTAGAAATGTGTTGTATCAAAGCCCAAACCTTGATAACCCTGATTACATCACTGAGATAGCGCTCCTTTAAAGTCTCAGCCGAAATTATACAGCTGTTTTCCCCCACTGAGTTGGACTCCTCACAACTAGTTAACTGATTTTGATGTGTAAAATTAGCATTCTTCCCCTTTTAATCTATTTCTATGTATATCAATACAGTAAAATGTCATTGTGATGATCTTCGTTATGAATCTAAAATATATATTTGTCACACAAAGTGACTTGATTACGCTGGTGGTGCCTAATTTCAGTATCTCTTATTGTTTGCAGACTGTCCTTCTACTCTGGCCATTCATCCTTCTCTATGTACTGCATGCTGTTCCTTGTAGTAAGTACACATTTTCTACTTCAGAACCTTTTTATAACCTAAATATGGCTTACATAGAAATGTTAAAAACAGTGTTAATTGTAATGTACAGTTTTTGTTATCTGCTTTACTCACGAAGCTTATGCATTAAAATTCACTCAAAAAATTACCTAAATTTGATCATGACATTGTCACAAAAGTGACTAAATAACTATTTTCACTGAAGGCATTAGCTGCCAACACCTGTACTGTAAATATTGGCTCGAACAATTTAAACTATGTGACCCCACAGATTTTTTGTTTCCAGTGCTTTATATTTTGTCAATTATTAATCCTTGTCTCTCTCTGACTGCTGTAGCTGTACATTCAAGCCAGACTAAGGTCAGAATGGGCGAGGCTTCTGCGTCCCACCATCCAATTCTTCCTAATTGCAACTGCTGTGTATGTGGGTCTATCCCGGGTGTCTGACTACAAACATCACTGGAGTGATGTGCTTGCTGGCCTCCTGCAAGGGGGTTTAGTAGCTATTCTCACAGTAAGTCAAGTCAGTTCATTTAGAAATAGCACATGCTTGCTTTTAAACAGAGGTTAAACCCATGAACATGCAGTTTCTAACTTTTATGTCTTACACCATACTAACAGTGTCATATACTATAAATTCTGTATCAGCTTGTTCCAACTGTTCACTAAAACTATATGCTTCAGTGAAATATTCAAACCCAAGACCTGTTTCCATGACTTTCTACCATTTAAATCAAATGGAAATATTCAAGATATGTTGAATATTACCAGTCTGACATATTTTCTCTCTTTGGAAACTTTGGGATCTCTATAAGGATTTTAAAAGTTCTGTTCTGGTGTTTGAACACTAATTTTTACCACCTAGTCAGTGATCAAAAAGGTGAAAGTAGCCTAACTATATCGTTAGACTGATTAATAATTAATTTAACACTTCATGAACAATAAATAAATCATTTTGGACAGACACACAATAAAGAAAATATAAGCAGAAGTCTACTTCAATAATGTTGGCCTACTTTATTGTTCTCCATCTTTACAGTAAAATGAAAATAATAAAGTTGAATGTGTTTTAATATTATCGCTTGTTTTTCTGCAGGTGTTCTGTGTGGCCAATTTCTTTGAACAGCCGGTGGACCCGGTGGTGTCACAGGAGGAAGAAGCCTCACACACCAGTTTACAGGACAACCCTTCCAATGGGAACCACTATGGCAGCACTGACTGAATCTGAGGAATCAAAGACTATACTGTATAGAGCCCTTTATCTCTTAAAAGGGCCGGGGAGGACCTAAAACACTTCATTGTCTTTGATATTAACTGCCAGCTGTTTCTGAGCACATCTTCAACATAGTCTGCCCCACAGGGCCAACGCTGCAGCCGGCAGACGTTAGCTGCTGCCTTTGGTGTGGTCAGTAAACTTTAATTACAGGAAGAAATGTGCACTACAAAAGACTTGCACTACTGATTATAAAGACACAGAGGTTTTTGGGTAAATTCAACATAATATGGTTTATTATGCAATGACAAAACAAAATACAGCATGTTGGGTTTACCTTAGAAAAAGTTTTTTTTACAGTGTGAGCTTGTTGGTAATGTGGTTTCTAATGTATATTGGTCTGCTGTTGCCATCATGAATGAATGAAATTCCTTTTGCCCAGAATATAATGAGCGTCTGTGTGCGCACTGCAAGCAGGTTTGTGGAGAGTGTGGCACCTGTGAATAAGAAAACCTGGACTGTCCTGGCGTAAAATGGAGACGGAACTCAGAAATAATATATTTCATGTTGATTTTTGCCTTAGTCATATTGCTGCTATCTGCTGTTATGTCCCTTACCTGGTGTAATTTAAATGTATGAAAAATACAATGCATTGAATTTTCTTTTTTTTCTTCTTTTTTTTTTTTTTACAGTTTGTATAAAGCTCGTATGTTTTTGTCAGTGCATAAGCTTTGAACAGTCTTGTTTAGAGCAGTACTGGGATCATTTGTGACAAATAAAGAAAGTTAAAATTTGCTACCCCCCCCCCTTTCTAACAAAGGGGGGAATTGATTCCTGTGTGTTTTGCCTGTTGAAAAAAACAACGCAGATATAATGCATGTGAATGGAGCCTTGGACAACGGTGCAGCTGCTGATGTGACAATGTAGATTTGCTGCAGCAGAACAGCTGATTTGTCTGTTTCAAGTGAGACTGCTGCGTAAGGTATGGCATCAAGGAAGAGAAACCAAGCATGTGATTCAGTAACCAAATTGTGTCTAAAATGTAGACCTGAAAGAAAGGTTTTCCAAACAGCATTGCTTTGGGTGTGTCATTCTCTGTCTGTGTAGACAGACCATAGAAACCACAAGCATGCAAATGTACCTCTGATGTTAATGGGAAAACATGTTTGTTTATTACAATGTACATGAAGACTATCAGAGCATTGTCTTGCTGCTTCCAGTGGGTCCAGTTTATTTTCACCAAGCGAAACTTCTATTAGCAGACAAGTGCTGATCCTTGGCTGCAAATGTCCAGGTTGAGGATCTGCTTTACAGTTTAAATCCTATTACAGTGACTGAGAGGCTAAAGAGAAGTTTAACACACAGGGAGGGAGAGCAATCAATGTCAACTGAAGTGTATCAACTAGCTCTTGTTGTTTGGTCTGTTATAGTGAAAATGAATAAGCAGGAGTTGATTTATGAAATGCTTGAACACTTTGACTCATGTTGCAAGCAAGTTGACAATCAGCAGCACTTTTATTCTACTCCAAAGCTCCATGCAAAATCACTTACAGCTATATATTATAATAATATAATAATAATAATAAATATATATATTATTACCCACATACTAGCTTGACTTTCACACCACTCTCTAAATTTCTGTTGGCTTTGTTTCACCCTGTTGTTACTTGTCAAACTCTGTTTTGTTCCCAGTTTCAATTCCTGTTACAGATTTAATCTTCCACTGCCAGCTCATAAATAATGTCACGCATGAGTGTAAAATGATTAAGGAATGTCTTGATGTTATAAATTTAGGAAATTCCCTCAGAGAAGCTTACCATTGTCTCTCAGTTCACTAAACTCTGCTGACCCTATTGAACAAATTTGTTTTAGAGGACAAACAGCCATAGTGCTAGAGGGAGTAGTGAGAATAAGTATTTTTAAGACTCCTTCCAAGCACTTAATTTGAAACTATGCATTCGATGCAGACTATTACTATACTATACTATACTATACTAAGACTATTGCAAGTATCGGGTCATGATTCCCAGTGTGTTTGGCCATCGAAAAACTGCTCATCTTGCTGTAGCATCACTTCTACCTCCCCCACGTCTGAAATCTGACCCATCATGTTGTCTGTTGCTCCACAGACCTATCTTTTGTTGTCACGCTGACCTCAACAATAGTCCTTATTGAGAGCAGCTCCATTCACTCTCACATGTCACATGTCTCACTTTATCTTGCCAGACAGTGATGGCACTGCAGAAAGAGGTGACTCAGAATGCAGTGTGCACTGGCACTGATATAATTATCATATCTCTTGAATTAAATTCCCCTCGCACTACACTTACTTTTGTTCCTTACACACACTTTGCCGGCCCACTTCTCTTGAGATAATGGCTACTCAAATAACCTCACACGTGGGTCTGTCTGGCCCCTGTGAGACAATAAGAAAATTGTGAAGAGAACCGAACAATGAGAGGATCCTATTAACAGTATCAATTGTGAATAAACAAAGAATGAGGAAATAATGGATGCAAATAGAGCCATGAAAGGTCTCCACCAACGAGAGAGCAGAGTTTAGTGTTTCAGATGGAGAACAGATCTGTATGTTTCTTTTTGTTTCAGTTGGGAAGGAGACAAACAAACCAAGAAGTATAAAAAAGAAACAGACAAGAGAGGAACATATAAGAATAAGAAATGAGGTGTGGATAGCCGGTTTAAGATAGCAACTTTAACTGGTTAATACAGTTTTATGTAACAAAAATGCTAAGCTGTTTTTATTCTGGTGTGTTTTTCTAGATGTCAGTGTGTAAATTGATGACGAAAAAGTGATTAAAGAAGATATAGAATGGAACTTCTATATTGTATATAACAGGAGATAAAAGTAGGGATAAAGTGAAGGAAGGGATTTGCTACATCCTCCTTACATGCCAGGATATGTGAGGATGGCTTGGTAATGTTAACATAAAATGTTAATATAAAAAACAGCAACTAAACTTATTGATGATTAAAATACTATTTACTGAACTGTTGTGGGCCCTTCTAGCAGCTAGAGCCAAATGAAAGTCCCAAGTGTCTGGTGGTCTACTCTGATGCATATATGGCCCTCTACTGGTGTAAGTAGTGTAAAGTTACATGCAAAGAAATAGAGCTGCAGCAATTAGTTGATTTGTCATTGCATAACAAAATAATCACCACCTTTATGGTTTTAATTCAGTTTTAGGTTTCAAGCAAAATTAAAAAACATTTTCTGGTTACAGCGTTCCAAATGAGAGGATTTGCTACTTTTCTAAATTGTAAATTTAGTATTTTTGGGTCAGACAAAGCAGGCAAATTGAAGAAGTCACTGTGGGCTCTTATGAAATTTTTATGGAGATATCTTCTGGCCTTTTTACTGCCTTTATTTTACAGGAGCAGCTGAATAATGACAGGAAAGTGGGGAGAAATGGGATTTTATGTAGCAAAGGGCCGAAGGTTGGAATCAAACCGGGGCAGCTGCATTGAGGACTCGGTACACTTGTAGGACCTTTGTACACGGGACACGTGGTACCAGGTAAGCTACCAGGGTGCCATTCGATAGATACTCATTTTTAAATGCATAAATTGGAGTTATGTAAAGTATTCTCATTTCACAGTCTGGTTTCAAAGCAGTCTTAAGATACAAGACAGGACACTACAAGATGGATTTGATGTGTGACTTTGTCACTGAATTTATTACCATAGTATGAAACATTTCAACCCATCAGTTCAACCACAGATGAGACCCTGGGCTTACAGTTCACACCTTAAATCCTCTGGAAACAATGAAAGGAAGAGCCCCTTGTCAAGTCAACCTAAACACACTCACTACCCCTCTTTGAAATAATGCTCTTATGAACAACTTGTTACAGCACAGTGAACAGAATTCATGACTGTGGTATGTGCATGGTTATGCACATTACTTTTATATTTTGGTACACTGAAATACTCTGACACAAATTCAAAAGCACATTTGATGTGTCTAAAGAAAGGTTTTGTGTTCTTTCTACTCACATGGATTATTACTCTTCTGCCACAGGTGGAATCTGCTCAGAGGGCTCCAACCTAAACACTAAACTGTACTGTAGTTAAGCGCACAACCAGAAGAATTTTACAGCACAGTGGGGTTGTAAAATTTTATTTGGAGAAATCTGTACATGGAGGTTTTGGCCTTCAGTGTGTTCACATATATAAGCATAATGGGGGACACAGACAGGTAAGCTCACTGAAGATCAAAAGAAGTGCTTTCCATTACTCAAAACTGGACAGGAAGTTCAGTACAACCTGCTTCAGTTTGGTGTCTGATGCCTCTGAGATCATGCCGTCATTCCTGAAAAAAAGGAAAACGGGTCAAGTTAAAATCAACATTTTATATTAAATACTTGCAGTCTAAAACAGGGCAAATTGTTCGACCACATTGTGGCTGAGAAGTCTGTCTTACTTGATTGCGGAGAGCAGGTCCTGGTGCTGGCTGAGGACGTGCTGCAGGAAAGCCTTCTCGAACTTTGTAATCTTGCTGGGCTCCATCTTGTCCAAGTGACCTCTGACACCAGCGTAGATGACTGTTACCTGCTCCTCGATGGCCATGGGACCTGGAGGGGCAGTGGGAGACATTTCTTTATCCAATTCTGCACTTTCAAGACATACAATAACAATTTGGCATTTAAAATTATACTTCTTAGGAAACTAAAGAGAAGCTGACACTCACAATACTGTCCCTGCTTGAGCAATTCTGTGAGCCTGACACCCCTGTTAAGGAGCTGCTGGGTGGCAGCGTCCAGGTCAGAGCCGAACTGGGCGAAGGCAGCCACCTCACGGTACTGAGCCAGCTCCAGCTTCATGGTACCGGCCACCTACAGGGTAGAAATAAGACCATTAATAATACTGGAGATTATCTGACTGTCCAGACTGACACCAAACTTAAAATGGAGCTGAAATATTGGGGTGCTGTCTAAATTTAAAAATAAAACTCAGATGTTACCTGTTTCATGGCCTTGGTCTGGGCAGCAGAGCCTACTCTGGACACAGACAGACCCACGTTGATGGCTGGGCGGATACCTTTGTAGAACAGCTCAGTCTCCAAGAAGATCTACAGTAAACAGATGAAGATATTTTAACAGCATTGTACTGTAGAATGTTTTATATGAGCCAAAACACAAGCAAAAACACAAACACCGAAGACAGTCTTGGACAAACCTGTCCGTCTGTGATGGAGATGACGTTGGTGGGGATGTAGGCAGACACATCACCGGCCTGGGTCTCAATGACGGGCAGGGCAGTGAGGGAGCCGCCACCGAAGTTGTCGTTCATCTTGGCGGCTCTCTCCAGCAGACGGGAGTGCAGGTAAAACACATCACCAGGGTAAGCCTCACGACCAGGAGGACGACGCAGCAGCAGGGACATCTGACGGTAGGCAACAGCCTGAGAGGAGAGGGGGAAAAATTTAATTTTTGCCTCAATTTCCTTAATAATAGTCACACAGAAGATATTTTTCTGATTTTCTAATCTGTGCCCTCACCTGCTTGGACAGATCATCATAGATGATCAGGGCGTGCTTGCCGTTGTCTCTGAAGTACTCTCCCATGGAGCAACCAGAGTATGGGGCCAGGTACTGCAGAGGAGCAGCATCAGAGGCGGTGGCAGAGACCACGATGGTGTACTTCATGGCATCAGCATCAGTCAGCCTCTTCACCAGCTGAGCCACAGTGGACCTCTTCTGCCCAATGGCGACGTAGATACAGTACAGCTTCTTCTTCTCATCAGTTCCTTCATTGAAGCGCTTCTGGTTGATG